GCGTGCACATAAATGAATTTTGTGTACGCAGCCGGCGAGCAGGAGACGACGCACATGGCAAAGATGGAGCTGGAAGTAGTAGTAGCTATTGCGGAAGCAGCAGCAGGAGCATGAGCAGCAGCAGGAGCACCCGATGGAGATGAAGCATAAGCCCAAAGTAGCAAGCCCCTGTGCTGAGGTTGGGGCTGCTGCTGGCGCAGCTGGGGCCATGTTATCTACACACGTGCAACATGCAAGCAATGCAACCAATGAGTAAACTACGTCGTCTGCCGCCCGCCGCCTGCTACTGCTGCTGCTACGGCTGTTTGCATTGGTGAGCTGCACTACAGCAATTGTTGGCATTACGTGCCACTCTCGATTGCCATTCAATGCCGGGCCGAGCCTCGAGCAGCGGCAGGCAGCGTGTGCAGCCGCAGGAGCCGCCAACTATTGAATTACTTTCAACCTGCGACTGCGACTGCGACAGCGACGGCGACGGCGACTGCGACTGAAGATTGCACTTGAAATAGGATTCACAGCTCACTCGCTCTCCAAAAGCTTCAGATTTTCAATTTCCGTTTCCCTTTTTTGCACCATTTCTTCTTCTTCTTCTTTTTTTACAGCACTCATCGCCGCCCGCTTCGTTCGTCTTTTTTGCTGTCGCTTTTTTGTTGTTTGTGTCTAAGCAAATGGAATAAGCGCGCTCATTGGTTGGGCTTGTTACTGCAAGATGGATGGATATATGGATGCATGGATGGATGGTCGAATGGCTGGATGGCTGCCTGCTTGGCTGGATATATGACATGGCAAGCCTCGAGGATGCGGGCGATTACGGAAATGCGCTACAATGAGCAATGCTGCAGTCAAAGTAAAAGCGAAAGCAACGCAGTGAAAGTGCATGCAACTGATCACAATTGCGAATGTGTGTGTGTGAGAGAGAGAGAGAGAGAGAGAGAGAGAGAGAGAGAGTGAGGGGGAACAGGAAGTGTAAGTGCAGGAGCTGTGAAAAAGATTGAGTATGACAACTGAAGGACAAAGAAATATGAGCTAAATTAAATGTGAAAAATATGTTAAAAATTAAGAATAAAATGCGAAGTAGGATTACGGAGCATGCATGCAGACATGCGTACTTGCATGCTGAAATACCAATAAACATGTAAGAAATATATGAACAAATACATAAGTGTATACAAATAGGCATGCATACAGGTGTGAATGTAAACATGCACATACATACATAAATGGAAGCATACAAACATACATGTAGACATACATTCCCGAATACATGTATACATGTACACATGCATATAAGCATACAGGCGAATGCACTTACATGCATGCATATGCATATACATACAGATATTCATGTACATATGTATCGACATATTCATACATCAATACATTCATACATACATCGGTTCCTGCTTACACATGTACATACACCTATGCATACATACATACATACATACATCTATGCAGCATGCATATTACCTCACGCATGCATATGCTTCTGCATACAAACATGCCTGCATGCATACATACTTAAACACGCATATTCCCACAAAATTGCACAGATCCATGATTGCATGCACACATGCAAAGAAAACATCGTTCTCTGAGCATCATTAACACTTCCATTCAGAGCATAGCCCACTCTCAAGCCGCACTCGAATCGCATAGAAGGGCGATACAAAAAATAAACTCATTCATGCAATGGCGCCCACAGTTCTCGAATCTTTTCCCTCAATATGTATGCATATATATATATAGATATGTATGTATGCATGTGTGTATGTGTTACCTTCAGCAAATGTTGCTAGTAATACATATACACAAATGTATCCATATATATGTACAGTGCGATATTTAGAAATATGCCTCATTAGATGGCATAGTGCATGCAATAAAAACGAAATGCAATATACTTATATACATATATCCGATTCTATATATATTTAGCATTTAAGCCGCCGTTAACAGCTATGAAGCTGTCAGCGTTTTGCCTCTGTCTATCGCATAATATATGGACTTGGTAATAATGTGCACCTGCAGATGATTGCAGGGTATTTGCAACCAGGAGCAACCAGGAGCTAGAAGCAGCAGCAGCCCAAGTCGATGTCGACACGTGCATCATAGACGTTGTCCATGGCAGCCACACACACACACACCCACATGCAGAGAGAGCTAGACAGAGAGGGAGGGAGGGAGACAGAGAGAGACAGACGCATGCCATACTGACAGTATATCAATCCTTTAAGACGCAACATTCAGTGCCAATCAACAAGTGCGTTCCATCTTGAGCTGAGGCCAAGCCTCAGCAGGAACTGCTGCAAGAAGCAGAAAAAGAAGGAAGGAAGAAGAAAAAAAAGAAAGAAAGGAAAGGACGCGCTCAGCATATATGCAACAGGGCGCTGAACACTTTTATTGCTAACCATTTCTTTTTCTCCCTCTCTCCCTCTCTCTCTTTCTCTCAAAAAAAACTCTGCCTCTGCCTCTGCTCCGACCGCTGCTACTTGTCCTTTTTGTGCAAAAAAAAGGATTTGTACACGGGTAGCGCCGGCACACACGGATTGAAAAGAACTCGGCACGTATTTGTCACGTATTATATATTTATAGCAACCAATGAACCGTTGAATGCACGAGACCAACAGCAGGAGCAGGAGCAGGAATAGCAACCAATGAACCGTTGAATGCACAAAAAAAACAGCAGGAGCAGGAGCAGTAGCAGGAGCAGCAGCAGGAGCAGCAGTTGGAAAAAAAGCGCGAGCGTGGCAGGTCTACGTTTGTAATGCTGGCTGGGATTGCATAAAACGGTAAAAATTTAGCTCATTGCTCATACGCCGCGTATGTGCTAGTTGAGGAGCTTAGTTCAAATTGAATACTTATTGCTGCCAAGGCAAAATCAGAATCAGCATCAGCAGGAGTAGGTGTTGGGGGTTGGAGTTTGAGCTGGAGTTGGAGCTGGAGTTGGAGCTAAAGTGCTGCTGGCGCATACATATATATCTCTATATAGGAAGATAAAACTCTATCAGCTGCTGCTGCTGCTGCCGCTGCCGTCACAGTTTAATTATAATTTTAATCACTTTTGCAGCAGCGCGGCGCGGAAATGAATTTTATGAAGCGTACGCCGAACTGTCGTACCCAACATAAACTGTTGTCAGTTTGCTAGCAGGAGGCGAGGCGTTGAAATTGGGATATCGGGAATGAGTGGAGACGAAGGTACATAGGACAAACGGACGGCAGGACGACGGGACGACAGGACAGCAGGACAGCTGAACGGCGAGACGGCGGGGCGAGACTGACTGTCATGTCAATTCAATTTTCGTGCTTCCGTGCGCGGCGACAAGTTTTTAGCCAGAGAGTTGCCCCAGTCTGTGCCCGCTTTTACCGAATGCCAAAGCAGTGGATTGTCAGCCCAACGGCACTTTATGTACATCATCATCATCGTCATCATCAACACCTTTTTCCAGTTTTCCTTCTTCTCTCTCTCTCTATTTTTTTTTTTTTTTTTCGTGTTCATTTTCGCACTGACGCCATTTACACGCCGTCGTCTATCCTCGTCTCCAGTTCTAATCAGCACAGACAGCGCCGACAGCCCAGTCGAGCTTAATCTTTACCCATCGCTCCCTCTCCCCTCCACGTGCTTCCTCATGCTCCATCGACACTGTTCGGATAAGCGAATCAATTTAAATGCGGCATTTGTTGCATAGATTTGTGTAACCAAATGGGAAAATGGCCAAAAAGCATGCAGCAAATAATAATTTCATACAGCTCGAGTTTAATTGGGCCAGAGGCGATGATAATTGACTGAACTAAGTGAATTCTTCAACAACAGGTTGAAGGGAGCAAGGAAGACAAATCTGCAGACGAATTGATTCAGTTCATCAATTTGCATCGAGAGTGAGTGCAGAAGGTGAATTATGAAATAGACCTGAGAAACTCACTTCCATTTTCATGCATGTGGAATGCTCTGGTATAAGAAGTGAATTTAAGAGATTATAGAATATCTGCAATTCAGCCTTATATACCTCATATAATTCACTTACACTGCATAGTCGTCAAAACATATCCCCGGGGGCCACAAAAATTGAATCATATTTTTATCGCACGCAAATGAAAATTATAATTGCCAACTGAACATTTGTTTAGCTTACAGCAGCAGCAGCAGCAGCAGCAGCATGCCCCGATGCTCGACTCCTGCTCATTCTCAGCTCATTCTCAATGTGTAGGGCCCATTCATGGGTTCATCATCCATTTTGTTATGAATTAAAACGAAGGCGAAGACGGCCAGAGACGAGGCTGATGACATGTTTTGTCCACAGGCACGCATTCTCTTGCGGCTGGCCTGGTCTGGCCCCCCCGCTACCCCCGGTTGCCTGGCCTGGCTGGCTGGCAACTTTCCCAACGGCACGCGCTGCCTGCCGCTTGCCACATCAGCTGCTGCTGCTGCTTTTGTTGCTGTCGTGGCGACAAGTCAGCCTGCCTGTGTCACTCATATGCGCCGCAAATATCCCAGCCTCGAGTGCCCCAAACACTCCGCGTGCCTAAAATCCACTAGCCCTGCTGCCACCTTCCCTCTCTTTCTACCCTCTCTCTCTCTCACTCTCACTGATGCTGCTATCCAGCTCTCGAAAATTCGACTCGCTGCCACGCACGAACGCTTACTTTGTCGCATGCACAACTTTTGGCTATTAAGTCATTTTTTGGCTTTTTAGATTTGCGACAAATTCTCTGGCATCGGGCTACACTAATTGCCCGCACTGCTGTCACAATTTTTACATAAAATCTGTGTGTGTGCCGCAGCTTTAAAACAGTTTAATGCTGACATCAACTTGGCCAAAAGAAACACTTTATCATCCCAGCTACCAAGTGCCGGACACTGTGCAAGACACAATCGAAGATGTTGCTGCTGCTTCTGCTGCTGCTGCTTCTGCTGCTGCTGCTTCTGCTGCTGCTGCTTCTCCTCTTGAGCACACAACTTCAACTCTTTTATAAGAATTTAGTTGAATGAAGCTTCAAGTGGCAGCAGTCTGAGTAGATGGAGTGGCGGCTGAAAGCAGGAGGAGATAGTAGATGTAGTACATCATCAGGCAGAAGCAGCAGCAGCAGCAGCAGCAGGCAGCAAGGCTTCCATAACAATGACAAGATAATAGAATGGATACAGCGTTCAGTGCTCAACTATAGAATGCTCTCTATGAGCACTCAATTTTCGCTATTAATATGTATAAAAACAAGTAAGAAAGCTCCAGTCGAGACTGCTCGACTAGGAGATACCCTGAACCCTCCAAGCTGATATTCTAATCATTCTGCACTTCTTTTATGCACACATACATACACATGCATCCACACGCACGCATAAGCCTGCGCTCTGCTAACTGCGCAGTAAGCAGCGACTGCGCTTGGGCTGCGCTGCAGTGTGGGCAATATTATGAGAATTTATTTGTTAAATAATTNCGTTCATACATACGGACGGACGGACGGACGGACGGGCGGACGGACGGACGGACGGACGGACGGACGGACGGACGGACGGACGGACGGACGGACGGACGGACGGACGGACAGACAGACGGACAGGGCCAAATCGACTCAGCTCGTCGCCCTGATCAAGAATATATATACTTTGTGGGGTCTGCCACGCCTCCTTCTGCCTGTTACATACTTTTAACAAAACCATTATACCCTGATTTCCCATTTTCAATGGGTTCAGGGTATAAAAATGAACTGTTTCAGCTGACGGCTTTAAAAATCAAGACAGACAAAGCTGCTCGCTATAAAACTGCGTTATAGAAAGAGAGAGAGAGAGAGAGAGACAGAGGAAGAGTTTTCAATATTTGCTGTTAATCAATTAATAAATCAGTAATTTATATGTATTTCAATTAATATGTAGTAGAATAAAGGGAGAGATGGAGAGAGATAACAAAAAAGAGAGAATGATAGAAGGAGAGCTAGCGAGTACTTAAACAAGTATATAGCTGCTTGCTATAATACTTCAGTTTATAGCTCGCTGTAACTCTTAAGTACCAGCACTTAATCATAATTAGTTATCTATAGACAGATGAAGACAGTACAGAGATAAAGAGACCTGGCTATTGATATAAAACTCTAATTTAATCGTAATTTAATTTTAATAAATTAATAATTTGATGTAGGTCAATAATTTAAAGTAATTTTGAAGCCAATAAATATCCTTTGATGATTCAGATAAACATTCTTTGAATAAAAAGTGAGATATGTAGAGACAAAGAGAGAGAATTTATACTAATAAACTTGGAGTACAGCAGGTATTTAATAGGAACTTACAGTAGAGGTAGTTTGAGAAAGAGAGAAAGAAAGAAAGTGATAGCGATACAGAAATAACAAATTAAGGAACTAAATTAATTTACAAATTATAAAGTATATTAAGGCAGAATGAAAGAGAGAGTAGCTCCAGCCAAAGGAGAGCAAGATAGACAGAGCGAGATAATATATAATATATGAAGTTAAGCAGGAGATGGACAGATAGAGAGAGAGAGAGAAGGAGAGCAAGACTGAAAACGACAGCTTCTCAAAAACAACTTAAAGGAAAAATGTTGAAAAACTTATAGCACAACAAAATGGAGAAGAAAACTTATAAAAACGGTATAGATCGATACATAAAGATCTAAAAAACTTACTCAAACTTATTGAAACTTAATCAAAAGCAAATTTCTAACAATAGACAATGGCAATCAAATTAGTTAATGCCGCAAGGAAATACAAATTCTAAGCCTTTTCAGCGTGAGGCTCTCAAGTCGCAAAACAAATAAACTTGTCAATATCTGAGTTGAGTTCTTGTTCATGTTGTTGTTGTTGTTATTGTTGTTGTTTTTGTTGTTAAATTCAAATAAAAGGCAAATTCCTGGGCCGAAGATAAGGGAAAATGTTTAATTAGCAAATGCAAAGCAGGAGGCGAGTTCAAAGACGTTCGGGCCCACATACGCAGCGATAAAATGTAGAGGCCCCGAAATTTGTGCATAGCATTTGTTTCAATGGAAAGTGTATGATGATGGGTAAAAACTTTTGCTCAACATTTGAGTGACAAGACAAACAATAGATGGCCAACTGTGCTGGTGCTGTTGGTGGTGGTGGTGGTGGTGCTGCTGGTAGTTGGCTAAGTTCTGCCGCACCACTGCATCGCAGTGCTGACCAAGTGAAAAGTGAAAAGCAAGATTTGTCACGCCCTGATGCGTCTTTAAGCGTTTTAATTACCCACGAACGAGCGGACGAACGGACGAACGGACGAACGGACGGGCGGACGGGCGAACGTAAACGTTTCGGGTACAACGAAAACTTTAGCATAATATGCAAACCAGGACAATAATTCACTTTGGCAGTTGACTAACTTGGCTCTAACGGCCACAAGGACCGCCTCCTGCCAACCTGCCTGACTGACTGACTGGCAGGCTGGGTGGGTGGGTGGTTGTACAGCACGAATGGATGCCCAGACCTGTCCTGTCCTGCTCTGGCCGTCTGCTTGGCTGGCAAACTGGACATTTGCAGTTGCATTTGCAATTTGCATTTTGGTGCTGTGGCAATTAATAGCGCAGACGTAAACAAAACAGTCGGACGGGAGCAGGGGCCAAGGACCAAGGACAATTCTCGCACCGCCCTGACTATCAAAATGCAAAGCAGCTCTCGGGCAGCAGGTAATGAAAATGCTTAATGGCTTGCAAAGTGTCACAGTGGCTGCGCCTGTGGATTGGCAAATGCAAATGCCTGGCACAAAAACCTTAAAGCGCGCTCAAATTCAACTTGCTTGCAACCAGCTGCCCGATGCGAGGCAGCATGCGGCGGCATGTGGCGCGTGCAATTGGAACTTTTGCGAAATTGGCAGTGGAAGTGAAGTGCGCAGCTCAGCGCATAAAAAGTCAATTAAAAGCGAAGCCAGTTCTGCTATTGCAGCTGCGTTCAGTTTGAGTTCTCTGAGTGTCTGTCTGTCTGTCTGTCTGTCTGTTCGTTTTGTCCGCCAGCCACACCAGCCACGCCCACACAGCCCTTGCGATAGAAATGTGTGAGCGCTTCAAGTGCATGAGTGTGTTGGCCAGCGCTTTTAGCAGAATAAACAGTGAAAGTTGCGCAAAAAGGACACGCCAAGACACCAAAAGCAACAGAGAACGAGACAGAGGGAGAGAGAGAGAGAGAGCGAGACAGACAGACAGACAGACAGACAGCGACTCGCATGTCGGACCTTTGAACGTGTTGAACTTTCAAATGGCTTTGCGCGCGGCTGGCAGCTAATGGCATTACACTACACGTTACCAGCTACCAGTTACCCATAAAACCTACACGCACACACACACACACATGCACATACATATCACACGCATACAAACACATTTTCAATGTCCGGTCTTATAGCTCTGCTTGCATACAAAGAGCTGGCAAAGAATCTAAAGTCTAGCTACAATGCGTGTGAGTGTGTTTGTCTGTATGTGTGTGTACTTGTCTGTGTGTATGTGTGCGTGTGTACAATTAGAGTGACGTACGCTTTATTGATGCGAGCGCCATTTGGCATGCATTAGAAGTAGCACAGTCCAAGGTAAAATATCAAAGTTGAAATGCAATTTTTATGGCACTGCATGCTTCCGGGTATTTTAGCTATGTCCTGCATTTCAGCTAAGTGCTAAGAAGAAGGAATTCTCAAGAATATAGAGGGTTGATGGAAAATATAAGAGAAACTTAATATTTATCAGCAATTGCCATAGCAAGAGATATAATATAAATATTGTTTGAGGCATAGGAAGTTCTACACATATATATAAAATAATAGAATAATAAATAACAAATAATTAAATAGTAAATAACTATATATAAAA